CTCAGAAGAAAGGCCGGGCGGGAGCCGATGGAGGTGGTCGCCTGGGCACGAGAGAAATCAGAGAGCCGAGTTTAACTGTGGCCCTGGGCTCCCGAGAGGACAAGCAGGGGAGAAGGGGGGTGGGAGGGGACAGGAGTGTGGCCACAGCTCGGGCTGGGCTCCCTCTTCCTCCAAGCACAGACCACGGGTGGGCGGGCGGGGGGGAGGCTGAGCAGGGGACATGGGCCCAGTCTCGAGGGAGCAAGGAAAACCACAGCTCTCCCCTCCAGAGCGTGGCTTTTTCCCAGAAGAAGCAACCTCTTCCCCCAGAGATGGAGGGCTGGGGGGACCCTGGAGGGAGGGGCCAGGGGATCCCCACGGGAGGCCGGCAGTGGGGGAAGGGGACGGCCCCACCGCAGCCTGGACATGAACACAGGAGGCCCACAGCAGCCACCAGAAGCTTCGTCCCTTTATTTTAGTTTATTAATAGGATACAGAGTACAGGCACTTACAGTGGTCAACCGCGCGGGGGCGAGCGAGGTCTCAGAGAGAGGCTCCCAAAGGCTCCCCAGCCCACAGTGCTCCAAGCCAGAGCCACCCTGGGCTGCCCAGGAGAAGGGGGCCGGGCCAAGGAGGGGAGCGCGGGGCTGGCCCGGCTGAGGGTTCCGGGCCTGGCGCAGGCACCTCCGGCAGCCGAGGCTGGGCGCTCAGGCTGTTGGTTAATATGGCCAAGGAAGGAATATGTACAACTCGGGCCTGGCCGGCCGCCCGGGCTCCATGCACCCCGCGAGGGCAGGGTGGCGCACGTGCTCTCGGCGCCCCGCTTCTCCAAGGCCTGCTCTGCTTGGGCTCACCCGGTCAAACGGCCGCTGGCAGCGACCCTACCTCTGCCTGGTTCCCTCATTCGTGATGGCACCCAGGGTGCAGGTCCCTCTGCGCACCCTGTCCCCCAAAGTGCAACACCCCAGCGCCCTGGCCCAGGGCTCCAGGACCCCTTTGCTCAGTGCGTGTCCAGCCGGAAGTGGGGCCAGGATTAGGGGACAGGCAGGGGCTACCCGCAGGGAGCCTGGTCCCAGCATAGGGGCTGGAGGGCCGGGGATGGCGTCGGGGCCCAGGCCACCAAAGCTCCGGCACAGGGGGTGCGCCAGGCGCCCCAGCATAGCCCCCGACCCCTAGTCGAGCAAGGACGGCTCGGCTGGGCGGATAATGGTGGGCCGGCTGGGCGCAGCGGGGGGTCTTCTGCTGTAAAGAGAATAGACAATCGGGGAGGGGGAGGTGGCAGTGAGGCCGGGAGCTGGGGACCCCGGAGTCAGCCCCGCATCCCGGGCCTGCGTGTTCCCACTGCTGGACGCGCTCGGGCAGTCAGGGGACGAGCCCCCGCCCTCACTCGCTGTGTGACCTGGAGAATCGCTGCCACCCCCACCTCAGGTCCCCACAGCAGATGGCTGGAAAACCTTTGTCCTCGAGACAAAGGTGACAGTGGCAGGCCGGGAGCTGGGGACCCCGGAGTCAGCCCCGCATCCCGGGCCTGCGTGTTCCCACTGCTGGACGCGCTCGGGCAGTCAGGGGACGAGCCCCCGCCCTCACTCGCTGTGTGACCTGGAGAATCGCTGCCACCCCCACCTCAGGTCCCCACAGCAGATGGCTGGAAAACCTTTGTCCTCGAGACAAAGGTGACAGTGGCCCAAGCCAGCCGGTGGCAAGGGACTCAGCTGCACGTGGCCCACCACGAAGACTGAGGACCCTGGACGGCCATCCTGTGACTAAGGCGACCCGCCTCTCTGAACCTGTTTCCCGCCAGCCCGGTGGGGATGCTGACCTCTCCCACCCCTGCCCAGCACACGCGAGCTGTCTGGGGGCCAGACCGGGCGGGAGGCCGGGTGCAGGGGGTGGCGGCGACGGGGCAGCGGGGTCGGCCTTACCTGGGCACTCCGGGAGGGATGCGGGATCGGGGCTGGCGGAGACGGGATCTGAGGCGGAGCCGAGAAGGGGTCACTGTTGATGAACACGCTCTGGGGGCCGGGCCGGGACGGGATGGGGGGTGCTGAGAAGGAGGCTGCCGCCCCCACTGGCATGGGGATCAAGGGGGGCCCCGGAGTCGGGCCCCTCACCGCCGGGGGCCTGCCGGGGGGGTGCACGCTGGACACTGGTCGGCGCTGCGGCGTGGGGCTGCGGAGGGAGGGGGAGGGAGGGGGCGTGAGCGGGAACGCATGCGCAGTGAGGCCCTGCAGGGGTGCCCTTGCTGCGGTGGCCTCCTACCCCCCCACCTAAGTCTTCCTGCGGACCTCACCCTCGGCCCCTTCTCGGGTCTTCCTGCCTCCCTGTGGCCTCTGATCTATCCTCACATCACAAGGACCTCCCAGAGTCCAACCCTGTTCCCAGGATCAAGCCAAATATTACTAAATGCCCGGGAGGCCGCAGAGCCCCCGAAGGCGCATGCCCGAGACTCCCGCGCTCGGGGCTCCTCCGCCTGGACGCTGTGTCCCTTGCACGAGGGACTCCACGCCTCCCGACTGACCCTCTGTGCTCCTGCCACCTGCGTTGTCCCTGCGCGATGCTCGCGGTCGCCCCCACCGGGTCCCATTCCCCTCTGGCTCCCGGTGCTGGAGCTGGAGCATGCTCTTAGGCCGTCTGTCTGACCCTCCAGAGCCGCCGGGCCCCCTCCCTGTGCTCCAGAAAGCTGAGCCCTGCAGCCGGCATCACAGCCGCTGGCCCTGGGCCTCTGTGGGCCTAAGGGAGGGGTGTGACCGAGACATAGCAGGTGGAGGGGAGGGAGGGATGCCTTGTATTCATCGCACCCCAGCAGGGCAGTGGCGCCGCCCAGCGGGGCAGCCTGGGCTCCTGGGCCCCTCACCAGGGTCCCCACAGGAAGCCAGGAAGCCCCAGGCGGCGGGGTGGTGACCGAGCCTCCCTGACCTGTGGCCGCTGGCGCTCTGCAGCCAGGTGTCGTCGACGGGCGGGGGCACGGGCGTGGACACGGTGCTGGTGCTGATGTCCCCGATGATGTTAAGCGCCTCCTTGAGCGCGTGGTACATGCGCAGCATGTCGTCCCGCCGCTGAGCCTGGTCGGCCGACTCCTCCATGAGGCTGCTCTGGTCGGCCGACGAGTACAGGTAGGCCAGCAGCTCGTGGTGGATGAAGGCCTTGGTCTGCAGGCGGGCACATGGTCAGCCTTCCCGCCTGGCCCACCCGGGCCGCACCATGGTGCAGCAGTAGTGAAACTGGACGCGTGTGGGAAGGTCCAGGGTTCACATCCCAGAGCCTCCCTGAGCATGTCAGGTAGGCTAAGACAGGGTGAGTGTGGGCCGGCAAGTGGCATGGTGGTTGGGGCGCTGGACTCCCACGTGGCTGACCACGGTTCAAGTCCTAGACCTGGCAGCTTGCTTTCTCACTTCCCTGTTTCTCTCCGGTCAAAATGGAAATGGAAGAATAATGATAATAAGTTAAAAACTTAAAAGAAAAAAAAAAAAAAAAAGGAAATGAGCTTTAAAAACCTTGGCCCAGAGGCTGGTGTCATGGTTAAGGCCGCTGGACTATTACATGACTTTACATGACTGACCTTGGTTCGAGTCCCGGACCTGGCAGCTTGCTTTCTCACATTCCCTTTCTCCCTTTCTCCCTCTCTGTTCCTCTCTAGTTAAATTAAAATAAATAAAGGTAAATAAAATAATTCTTAAAAAAAAAAAAAGAAAGGCCCAAGGGCCAGCAGGTGACATAGTGGTTACGTCACTGGACTCCCAGACGGCCGACTGTGGTTTGAGTCCTGGACCTGGTGGTATGAAAATGACACCGGTTGCATGTGCATGTGTGCCCAGGATCCCAGGCAGAGAACGGAGGAGAAGGACTGCAGTGTGGCCATCCCCACTGGGGCATGATTTCAAACTCTCCCTCTTACTGTCTCTGTCTCTCTCTCTCTAGTCAGAACACATGTCCTATGGCAAAAAACTCTTAAAAAAATAAATAAATAAAAACAAGGCCTCCGGGGTCAGCAGGTGGCATGGTGGTTCAGGCAGGTGGACTCCCACATGGCCTGTCACGGTCTGAGTCCCAGACCTGGCAGCTTGACCTCTCACTTTTTGTCTCTCTGTCTCTCTCTGGTGAGCGAGTACATGTGACCTATAGCAAAATTAAAAATAATCATAATAAATAAAATTAGGTAAATAATTTTTTAAAACACAACATGGTCCAGCCAGTGGTGTGGAGGTTAATGTGGCTAGATCCTACACGGTCGACTGCAGAGTTCGAGTCCTGGACCTGGCAGGTTGAAAACCCCACCAGGCACGTGTATATGCGTGCCCAAAATCTCGACGGGGGAGTGGAGGAAGGACGGCGGGACCCTGACGGGGGATTTCTCACTCCCCTCACCCCGGAGAGCAAATGGGTCCTACGGCAATTTAAAAAATCAATCAGCGAGTGAAGGAAAGGGAATTAAAATAAGCAGCCAGCGCTGTGTGCCGGGGGTCCCGGGAGCAGGCGCGCACACGGCTGCCGCGCTGTCCGAGTCGGGCCCTGGCGACCTGGAGCGCAGGCCGGGCGCGTGCCCCAGACCCTGACGGGGCGGCCCGCACTCACGTTGTTGATCATGAGGTGCATGATGGTTTTTGGCATGAGGTCGCGGATGGACTTGTTGATGATGGCCACGTACGAGTCCACCAGGTTGCGAATGGTCTCCACCTGCCGCTCCAGCTGCGGGTCCATGGAGAAGGTGTTCTCCTGGGCCCCGTCCTCATTCTCTGCCTGCCAGAGAGAGAGGGAGGCGGTGAGGGGTGACTGCGGCCTGAGGCGCGGGTGACGAGTCCACCTTCTCCGGGAACCGAGTCCACCCACGCGCCGGCCTCTGACAGCCCTGTGGGTACAGTGTGGCCCTGGCCAGTGCACCACAGACCTGGGGTGTCCACCCCTGGGGATTGGAATAGCATGTTCATTTGGGGCGTGAGGGCGGCCATGTTTATTCTGCCTCTAGGACAGGAGGAGAAAAAGAAAAGAACAAAGCAGATGGGGGGCCAAGAGATGGCATGGGGCGGGGGGTAAGGCGCTGGACGCCCAAATGACCGACTGTTGTTCGAGTCCCAGACTTGGCGGCTTGGAAAATCACACCAGGTGGGACCAGCAGATGGCATAATGGTTACGTCGCTGGAATACCATGTAGTCGACTGTGGTTCGAGTCCCAGACCCAGCAGCTTAAAACTCAAGCTGAGCACACATGCATGCGTGCCCAAGATCCCGAGAGGAGAACGGAGGAGAAGGGACTGTGGCATGGCCGCCCCCCCGGGGGTGATTTCTCACTTTCCCTTTCTCTGTCTCTTTCCAGCAAGTACACGTGTCCTGTGGTAAATACTTAAAAAACAACAAGAAGACGTAGAGCACACGGGGTCCTAGTTTGTGTATGTCCCTGTCCTGGGCTTTAGTTAAGGGGCCCTGGTGGAAAACCGCCCCGTCTCTGGGTTTTGTTTCTCAGGCGGGCATTGGCTAACTGCCTGGAGAGACCCAGCAGGGCCCGCCCCAGGAGAAGCCGGCCCCCTCCCTGTCCCAGGTGGGGTCTGCTGGGCAGAGCTGTGCGCGAGGCAGGGCGGCTCCTCACCTGGTCCTTCTCCGGGTAGACCCCGGCGCGCAGGAACGAGGCCTTCCAGCTGTCCACATCCTCCTGCGAGTCACAGGCCAGCTCGATCTGCCGCAGGTCCTTGTAGACGTTCCTGGGGGGGGGACGGGAGGACGCTCGACCCTCTCCATGCCCCTTGCCAATCGCAGAGAGGGACAGGCTCTCGGGGTGGTCCGGCCAGTCCGGGACTCAACTGCAACCCAGGCTCTGGAAGGTTCTGGCTCCTTCACCTGGTCGTGCTAAGGGTTTGCTGGGAGGTTATGCCTGCAGCGCCTGAAGAACAGTGCGGGGTGGGCCAGCCCATGCACGGGGTCAGGACGGCTGGAGCCCACATGGCTAACGGCACAGTTCAAGTCTCGGACCCAGTATTTCTTTTTTAAAAAAGAATTATTCTATTTAACTTTATTTATTTAATCTTTAATTTGATCAGAGAGGGACAGAGTGAGAGAGAGAGAGAGAAGTGAGAAAGCAAGCTGAAGCTTCCGGGGCAGAAGGCTGAGGTGGGGACAGGGACAGAAGAGGTATATATAAAGGTTCTCAGGACCAGCCGGTGGCCCAGCCAGGTTGCAGGGTGGGGGGGCCCAGGGCCAGCAGGACAGACACCGAGACCAGTGGCCGGGCATGTAGAGACACCACCCCTCTGTGGACGGCTATCCCAGGCTCGGGTGGACCCTGGGTCTCGCACAAGGGTACGTGTGCCTCTGGGGAGGGGCTTCCTCCCGGGAAAAGTGCTTTTGCCCCTTGGCCTGTGCTGAAGTCTCCGGCCAACGCCTCCTGGGCCCCCCTCTCCATCGAGGCTCATGCAAGCATCTTTAAACCAGGGGTCCCCAACCCCCAGCCACGGACTGGTACCACACAGTAACCAGGTCACCTGGTAGGGGAGCACCGGGCGACCAAGGCTCGAATCATCGTGAAACATCCCCTACCCCTGTGAGTGGAAAAACTGTCTTCCAATTAGACATGGGTCCGTGGTGTCTAAAGGTCGCTGACGTCCACACATCCATGCAGGGGGCTGCCCAGTTCAAGCCCCGCCTGGGACGCGCCTCCTAACATACGCCTGTTCCTTCCCAGCCGCCACCATGACACCCTCGTGGGCATCCCACAGGCCCCTCCCTCAGCACGGCCCACAGTGAGCGACTGGCTGTCCCCAGGGCTACCGCAGGGGCGTGGCCCCATCCTCAGAGGGGCCGTTGTCTCACACCCACGTCCATCTGTCCATCGGGAGGATTCGATCAGCTCTGTGTGACACTACCCAGAAGCCTCCCTGTCTGAGCCCACCCAGACTCACCCCACCAGCTCTCACCTGGACTAGGCCAGTTGCCTCCACCCTGGTCTCTCCGCCTCCACCGCCAGAGGGCGCCGGTGAGCCGAGTTAGGTCCCGTCCCTCCACCCAGAACCCTCCGTGGCTCCCAACTCCCTCCCATGTCAGACCCCAGGGAGGGGACTGGTGACGAGTACGTGGTAAATACCTCTGCATGTCCGCGAACGAGGCCCTTGGTCACCCCGAGCCCTGCCCGGGCCCCCGCGGCGCTCACCTCTGCTCCGTGTTGAAGATGGCGAACACGTGCTTGTTGGACATGAAGCCCTTCTCCACGTCGCGGATCTTGAGGTTGTCCAGGGGCAGCATGTACTTCTTCTCTTTCTCCTGCGGGCGGAAGGGAGGGGCGTCACCCTGGGTCGTCTCGCTACCTCGAGGATACCCTGGGCCAGGGTGCAGTGGCGGCCATCGCGACGGCCGGCACTTCCTGAGCGGGCCGTTTAATGGGATGAAGTCACCTGCCGACTCTCTGGCCTTCACTCCACCTGCCCGGGCCATGCTGGGCTGAGCCACTCCCCGGACATCCCGGGCGGCACAGAGCCCAGAGATATTCCATATCCGAGACTGCAGTCTGGATCGCTCCCCCAAACCTGTCCGCCTCCTTCAGATCTTTTTTTTTTTTTTTAAATTATTTTATGTAACTTTATCTGTCTATTTATTTTAATTGATCAGAGAGAGACACAGAGAGAAAGCGGGAAAGCGAGTCACCAGGTCCGGGACTCAAACAGCAGTCGGCCATGTGGGAGTCCAGTGCCTTTAACCACCATGCCACCTGCAGGCCCATCTCCTTCTCCAAAGCAGATCTTTGTAGAGAGTGGAGCCTTCCTGCCCTGACCCAGCCTCCACTCTCTCTCCTTCCTCTTCTGTTCTTCTCAACTCCACCTCCTATATTGTTTATTTAAGAAAGATTTTTGCTAGCGGGTGCGTGCGCTCACTGGAGACGCACAGAGAGACAGAGAGAAAATGAGAAATCACGCCCCCGGGGTGGTCACGTTGCAATCCCTTCTCCTCTAGGGATTTGGGGCATGCACACACATGTGCCTGGTGTGAGCTTCGAGTGGCCGGGTTCAGGACTTGAACCTAAGTTGGCTGCATGGGAGTCCAGCACCCTAACCACCATGCCACCTGCTGATCCCCTATCTTGTTACAGACCCAGAAGGGTCCCGACCACCGGGACGGACTCAGCAGTTTGAGGACAGGGACGCATGTCTGTTTTGTTTTTTTTTTTCACCCCGAAGAGGACACGTTTTTACCAGAGAAAGTGAGAAACCACACGCCACAACCCCTTCCCCTCTCTCCTCCACCCCTCTCTCCTTCGGTGATTTTGGGCACGCACGCGCACACACGTGCCCGGAGTGTTTCTTGTCGCCGGTCCAGGGCTAGAACTGCAGTGGGCCCTGTGGAATCCAGCGTCATAACCACCGCGCCACCTGCTGGCCCCAGGGAGACTGTGCTGCCGAAGGCTCCGGACTCCAGAGCAGCCCCAGTGCTGGAGCGAGCCGGCTGGGGCAGGAGTGAGGGGCAGGCTGGGCATGTGCGCTCTGTCCTGAGGCGAGAGCTCTACCAGGCCTGACTGTCACCTGGGTGACAAGGGGGTGAGTGGTGCCCTTGGGCAAGTCACGTCCCACTCCATGCCCCGTCTCATCTGTCACAGGAGGGAAGGGGTTCCACCCCCCGGGCAGGAGGCGAGAGTGAGCAGGTGCGTCCAGGTGCTGAGGGGCCCCAGGGCTCTTCTCAGGGGGCACCACAGAGTGGCTCCAGGGGCCTCGTACTGGGGTCTGTGCAAGGGAGCCTCAGAGCTGGGGAGGGCCCGGGCCCCACCACGGTGGGTACCTGACGGCCCAAGGAGGCAGGACGGACGCCAAGCCAGGACCGACCACACCCACCACCCGGGGCAAGGCCTGTTGCTCCCAGGCCAGGCCCAGAAACTGAGTCATGGCCCATGTTGGATCCCAGCCTGCTGGGTCCCCACTCGGGCAGTGGGGGACAGGGTTTCTTTGGCGCCTGCCCCTCTCCAACAGCGCCGGCTTTTTATCTGGGGCCCATGGGGCCCGTCCTGGGGCTGCTGGTTCTCATTACTACAGCCGACAGACCCCCTCCTCACACCTCTCCTGGCCCAAGAGAGGGTGGTGGGGAGCTCCTGCCTTAGCTCCCAGAAGAGGGAACACGAAGACCCCTTTCTCAAGTAGAAAACAGGAGCTCCTGGGACCAGCAGTTAGTGTAATGGCTATGTCGCTGGACTCCCATGTAGTCGACCGCGGTTCGCGTCCTGGACCCGGTGGCTTAAAACTCATGCCGGGTGCGTGTGCGTGTGTGCCCAAGATCCCGAGAGGAGAATGGAGGAGAAGGGATTGCTGCGTGGCCATCCCCCCTGGGGGGTGATTTCTCACTCTCTGTCTCTCTGTCTCTCTCTCTGTCTGTCTGGTGAGCACATGCACCCTATAGCATAAACCTCTCAAAAAAAATAAAAAAGAAAGAAAAAAGAAAAGAAAAGAAAACGGGAGGGAGCTCCTTAGACTGGATTCGCCACGAGGCCATGCAGGGTGTCACAGGCTGAGGCTCCCTGCCCATGGCCAGGCCCCCCACCCTGGGGGCCCCAAAAGATCTGTGTACCCCCAAGCTGAAAAGCAGGGGCTGGCCCTCACCGAGCCTAACCGCTGACGCACCATGGCGCAGACTGGGATCCAGTCAGGGAGAGGACAAAGCCAATGTCACCACCACCCCCTCCCCACCCCCAGGCATCTCATCTGGGCACGTGGGTTCCTCGAGGAGCCTCCCTGAGTCTGAGTTGGGTACTATCCACAGTTGTAAGCATCCACTGGGGGTTCTGAAGGTATCCCCCGTAGGTCAGGGAGGACCGCTCCATCTACTTGCTCTGAGAGTGACAGAGAAAGTGACAGTGACAGTGGGCTGACTCGGTGGCCTGGGGATGAACGTAGCCAGATTCCACATGGCCGACCACGCGGCTAGACTCCCTGCCCTAGTGGCAGGGACCAGCAGATGGCGTAATGGTTACATGGCTGGACTCCCACACGGCCAAGTGTGGTTTGAATCCCGGACCCGGTGGCTTAGAACTCACACCGGGTGCATGTGCGTGTGTGCCCAAGATCCCGAGAGGAGAATGGAGGAGAAGGGATTGCTGCGTGGCCATCCCCCCTGGGGGGTGATTTCTCACTTTCTGTCTGTCTCTCTTGCAAGCGCATGTGCCCTATAGCAAAAATCTCTTTAAAAAAATTAAAAGGAAAACCACACTGGGAGCGCGTGCGTGCGTCTCTCAAATCCAGACAGGGTGGGGAGGTAGAGAAGGAACTGGGGTGTGGCCGGGCCGTGGAGGGGTCCTTCCTGTCTCTCTGGCAAGGGCACATGCTTCTGGCAATGAGAAAGGCCAAGCGTTGGGACCAGCAGTTAGCGTAATGGCTATGTCGCTGGACTCCCATGTAGTCGACTGCGGTTCGAATCCCGGACCCGGTGGCTTAAGACTCATGCCGGGCGCATGTGCGTGTGTGCCCAAGATCCCAAGAGGAGAATGGAGGAGAAGGGATTGCGGCGTGACCA